GTCGTTGGTGTTATTCTTGTCGTTCATGACGTCATACAGATTGGTAGTTAGAGGTACCTGCAGTACGCTATCCCGCTACACGCCATGGAGAACTTTGGGGAGGGTAGAGAAAGTCATAGCTTCTGTTCGTTCTTGACCCCTGCTCTAGATGGGGAGAGTGATTAGCGTCACGCTTCGGCCACCCTTACCCCCGGTATTCATCCTGTAGGAGGCTAGGTGGGCTCTAGAGCCGAGCTGGAGGAATAATCTTTTACCTCTGTCGGAGATTGAACCTTAGCCCACCAGTCTGTGGTAAGACTACACCAACTCCTTCAGATGCACGTATAGCATTTAATTTCAGGACGGAATGTCCAGATTGAGGTACAATGTAAGACTGAAAGGTGGGTGTATATGGCTGTTAGTGTCCTACAGCGGGCTTTGATATCAGAATTGTTATATCGCGTTGTTGAGCCATCAATGTTAGCCAATCATGATGTCATGCATTTGTGGTTATCCTGTGATGAGAGGACATTTTGGAAGGGCTCTGAAACAAACTGTACATAAAAGATGCCTGAGGTGACTTTTTAACAACTTCCAAACACAGATACAGGACTTTGGGAATTTAAGTGGGTCGACTTTGTTCGTTCCATTTTGATCAAGACAAAACGAAGTTTACTACACTTCTCAGTTCTTCAAAGGCACAAATGAACACGATCTGTCGTTATTCTTCAAGAGTTCTTTTTTTCACAGACAAAGCGTAGATGAAAGAAGCACACGGACGGACGTGAAATGCAAGTTGAATTTGACCTAACGAGATCTCTGCACAGTTATGTGGTTCCAGAAGGCCATAAGAATTATTCTCAAATGTCGAACTCTATTCAGATTAGCACTAACAAGTTTAACAGAGTTCTGAGTGAGGTCGGCTTGCAGACCATGCTAATAGAAATGTCAATATTTATCTGGTTTGAAAGGAGATCGCAATTAGATTGTGAATAAAGAAGGCCAATGCATCATTTATCAGACTGAATCTCAGAAGACTTTCAAGAATGTACCCACTGTATATCTCGCTTCAAACACCAAATTTATCTTACGATACGGACATACTGACTGATAAACGTTTGAATCTATTTATCTGAACAATCTGTACTGTACATAGGCCTATGGAAATGCTAGTTATTACAATGGCGTCTGTATATTATCATACGTAAACTGACTTGGTGCTGTGTGTCGACGTACACTTGAAACCTACATAAATTTAAATTGTTCTCAGATTATCGTCATTCTTAAACACAGGGGAATTTGCCTGCGTTCACTGCCAGCAAAATTAAACACTGAAATAAACGACAAAATTAAGGAATTAATTAAGAGGCTTAAGTTGTATGGAATTGTTAATTTACTGGGATGAAATTTAAAGACACGATGGAAAGAAGGAATCTAGATCGGTACAGGCGTAATTCTTAAGGACAAAAAATAATTTTACCTTGAAATGAAAGGACGTGTTTCAATGAATAGTCTAGAGGGAGGACAAATCTTATTAGGGCCCGAACAGAGTAGCCGGAAGTCATGTATCAATGGATGTACTTAATTTATTTCATTCAGAATGCTATATGGGATGAATAAAATGAGTCAAAATAAATATTCCATTTAAAATATTTTATTGGTACATCGTTTACGCTCGCATAACATACTGATTTCTTCTATGTTGTTGGCGCAAAATGCCACCGGGCATTAATATACACGATATCTGATACATTCAGAGCTGAATATAAATAACGTCAGTTAATTAGAATTGAGTTCTAACGATACGTTTCTAGATTTTAAATGACGAATACAGTCTTACGAATTCTATGTAAACTATCAAAATATTCCAACAGTGGAAAATCATATTTTAAAATATGCCTTTATTAATTAAAGCGTTGTGACAAATCTAAACCCACTTCGTATTATAATTCACATTACTGACTGGATCGTTCTTATTTGTACAGGATCCAAATGACAAGATACTTTACTGATATTCGATTAATGTTTCAATTATGACCGATTGGAATGTAATTGTGTTAATCGTATTTCTGATTATCTTCGTAATAATTACTTCAGAAAGCAAGGGAGGAATTAGGTAAGCTAAGTAATTCGATTAGTGGCTGTAAAGTAATGATAACTAATTCCAATGTAAAAAGTCAGTAATTAATCCCGTGGTTAATTAATTAATTTCTTTCCGATGTTGTCCTGGGTTGTGACGTCATGTATAAATAAATAGATACCAACATATCGTTGAAACAAACTCAAGTCTACACAGCGTTATAGCATTGTCATTCTAATCGCCTGAGAACCAAAAATTTTTTATTTTTATATTTTGGAATAAATTGTATTTACCGTCTTCATAAAAGTCCTCCGTCGGATCTTACCTTTAGCCAGTTCAATCCAGTTCCCATGCTGATATTAGATTTATCACATAACCTTGATGATTTCGACACCAATGAAAAGTATCAGATGAAATCAATTATAGACGAAATATGTACGTATTAAACAGATTTTTGTTTAATCTGAACATTTAATATTTTTTTGTTACGTCAGTTCACGAATGGTACAAAGTCACGATATATATCGTAACTGTAAATTTTTACAACCGTCCCAAAGTTTTTGAAATAAATTAATAACTTGTAAACAGTAGACATTTCACAAGGCAATTCAGGGTACTTCATGGTTATACAAATTAACCATGGAAACTGTCAATTCGAAGGCAAAGAACATGGAATACAAACCTTAAGAAGAATCTCACGCGAACACGAAAATGGCGGGTTTGTTATTAGCGGTTTTCACACTACGAGTTTGGTAAAACTGGATTGGTCTGTTAATTGTTAATAAAAACTTGTAGCGGTCAGTGTTATTTTATGTAGAAGAACCATTTAACATTTTATTGATGATGTTACGTACTATTCAAAATACATTTTGTCAGACCGTTTAAAACGTGTTACAGATCAAAACAGTTATAAAGGCATGATTAGTTGTCCCCATATTCACGTCTTAAAAATAAATTTTTTCGTATCAAAGAACAAAAACTGGTTTCAGAAACATGTTTATGATCGTTAAACATCAAGGCGTGTTAATATTTCCACATATCAACTGCGTTAGAGCTCACGAAAAATATCAACTGACGTTACTTAAACAGCCACTCGTTTAATTAAACAAGGTATAAATGACAAAAGAGAAACTTAATACGAACTCTTGTGTACCACATCATGACGATATGTTAGTGGTCGGATTAGTTACCACTGTGTCAAACGCTGTAAGTTCACACAAAGAACATTCGCTTGATATACGACAGAGGGCTGGCCACGTATATCAACGTATTATTTTTTTGGCACATGGAAACAGAGTTGGCTCTCTACATCTTAACAGTTCACAGTATTAGTTACCACCAAACATTAGTATCATACATGTCTTATATACAAGTTACATAAGTAGGCATATAAAACTGTCACACTGTCTGAAGCATTATACTGCGAAAAAAAAATATTTTATCATTTTCCATTTGACTTTTCGTGTTTCATAGCTTTTCAGACACACTCAGGTTACTTATATGATCCTTGTCAATATCTTTAATAAAACTCATTTTAAATTCAATCTTTACGATCAAAACGGGAATCTTCATATATATATATATATATTTGGAGGGGTTTTGTCATATGTTGTCGTATACGCATTATACAGTCTTGGACATTGTATAACATTTTTTATGGCGATTATAAGTGATCTTAGCACAATTAAAATGTATGTAAATCAAATCTGCCTACAGTATCAAGTAATAAAAAAAATTGGATAGTTAAAAAGAGTGGGGACTTTTGACGGCTGTGCCGCTGGGTCTAGTACCCGACGAAATGATCGCGCATAGCGGAAAGACGGTGCCTGCCAAAACAGCGGCTAAATATACTCGCAGAATCTAATGCACGAGTATCCCACTAGGTGCGCGGTAGTAGCAGTAGAAATAAGCGATGTCGTTTGTGGAAGAAGACGTGTTTTTTGGTTTCACAAAAGCCGATACGCGACGGTGGTTTAAATGTGATTTAGATCCAAGTTTCGGGCAGATCCATCTGCAGTTTTTCAGTTCATTCATGAAGGAATTAGTTTAGAGAGCTTGTTTGTCAGGACCGTTTGATAGTGAAGAGGCAGAAGACAGTGATTATAACAGTCAATGAAAGCAAGACCCGCGAACATAGACCATAAACTTCTTCAGTCGAAGGTTTAGATAATTCTAATGTAGAGTTTGTTAATTTACCAGTTACAGGTTTCAAACGGGAAGATGAATTTTCTGAGGTAGATCCAAACGTCTCCATTGCATTTTTATTTTGGATAGGATGTCAGCCTATGTTAAGACGCACGTCTATACTCGGCCAATGCTTTAAAATATCAGTTCAAGATTCGATATCATTCGAGTTACTACGTTTAAATGTCGTACAATGCATGGATTTCTTTATTATCGTTTCGAACGATAGACACTAATACAGTATTTTGTCCCTATCCTAAAATTTGTATTAGTGTAGACAGCTTTGATTTTTTTTTCAATCATTCTCGTAAATGTAAAGATCGCACTTACGCACTCTGTATTAATTAGCGAAGAATTATTTCATATGCCGACCCGCATAGAAATATACGCGAAGGAGGTACACAGTAGGTTAAAATACGTACCATACCAATGCGTTTCTGTCATTGTATCTCACTTTTTATTATTTAAGTCAATAAATATATTAATTATTGTAGTAAATATAACTGAAGACTCCTGGGAAATTTATGACTGCCAAGAAAAAAAATATATTTATGAAAATAACGTATTTTAAATAGACAGACAACATGAAGATATTTATGGTTTAAGGGTTTTACGGAGAATAAATTCAATAAAATTCTTTCAAGCGATCAACCACTTTAACTCAACGTTGACGCGATTGATTGCCCTAGAGAATTTTAATGTAACATGGAGATACGCTACTTCAAGCGCTTTCTAGCGTGTAATATATGAATTATGGGAATTGCGTTTCACACCTCTTTCTTATTCTGCGGTACTCGTAAGAGAAAGAACTTTTTCCATAAGAAATGTAAAATTTTATACTTTCTCTGCAAACATTTTTCGGTTTATTGTTAAGAGACTGAATAAATAATGCTGAAACAGAAACTGTAAGACTCAAAATAAGAGTCCACACTGGGAAACTAATGGCGTATCGATACGATTCGTACGTCTGCCAATTATAATTGGATTTTATCGGTTTTATTATCACTACCATCCGTGTAGTGTATGAGATACTTGCATATTACTTATAATGGTTACTTATGAATCAGATGATAATTTATCTCTTTCAGCCTGAAAAATATCGGCGATACATCACATCAAAACAAAACACACGAGACTGTCACGAAAATAGCACAGCCTTCTGCGCTTTCAGAATCTGGAAGACACTGAAATGTACAATTATCCCTTTAAAACGTAGCGGTAATTATATGTCAGTCGACAAGTCTGCATTTATATTTACGTGTTTCTTATGATTCTTAGTGTCAACAGAGATTATTTCCTTAAACAGAGTTCGCCGACTGATCATTGTAGTTGTGAAGTGTTTCTTTGCGGTAAGAACTGAAATTAAATGAACGTCGACAAAATTAGCGAACAATTACAAGGGCGTGACATTATTTATTTAAAACACGTATGACACATTTATGTAGTATTACACAGTTACACAACATTAATGTTTTATCACGTGTCGTCACAAAGTTTATAACGTAAGATTTTAGTATTTGTTATAAATAAATCCAAAACCATAAAATTTTCCGTATACCTACTGATAGTAAAATTATTGATTACAAAATGAAGGTCGAATTTCGATTCCTGGCACGGATAGGAATTATTCTCTTCCGTACAGCATCCAGACCGATTCCCATGAAGCAAAGCGGCCAGACCGTGTAATTGTTTATATAAATTATTCAGATAATACGATGTTATAACCCTCTGAAACACAAAGCTCATCTAAATAATATTTAAACATTCGGGAAAGGAAAAAAAAAACGCATCTCCATTATAAAAATACATTTGTTAATGCTGTTTAAGGAAATAATAGCTGTTTTTTCTGAGAAACCAGGAGTTATTTTAATGATCACGTAGAGTGATTGATATTTTAAGTAATAATGAAGATGTTCTTCTGAGTTCTGGCTCTTTTCCGAAACGTCAGCATCTCCCACAAGGCTCCAAAACCCAGGAGAACATCATCATCACTATCGTCACTGCAGTGAAAACCTTAAATCTCACTTAATAAACACTATTTAATGTACCGAATTTGGTAAAAGTTGGTAAATTAAATGTCTAAAATAATTTTATAAATTATTTATTTCGGACACAAATTTTTGGGGGATATTGTTATTTTTATGTAATATTAGTTTTTTTATTATTAATTGGCTCCACGAAACTTAAATCCTTTTATTGAAGCTAGTAGTAGCTTAGCTACTCCCCGCGTCGTATAAAACCTTAAGTTTTACTGACAACACTATCACTCCATTTTTGGACTTGTGAATCGTCTGGTATTACGAAAACAACACGTTTCGGAACCTGGATATGTTTCCATCCTCAGGTGAAGAGATGAGAAGTACCTACTCAGTTATTCCGTAGAAAGAGACAGCTTTAATAACTGGACCTGATAACGGAAGCAGATTCAGTTTCCGAAACGTTGTATTCTTTTCAGAATACCAGACGACAGACAAGACCAGAAATCCAGTAATAGTAATTGTCATATACCGATTTCATTATCGTATTACGAGATCCAGTTACTGGTCCATATCTTGAAGAAGATAAATCCTGTCCGCATCCTCAACGTGTTCCATTAGGAGAAATTTTAGGATTATCATTCTAAATATGCACAGGTCTTCCAAATGATCTCCTTCCTTTAGGTTTTCCGATTATAATTCCTGTACATTTACCACCTCCCTCAAGCATCCGCGTCTCAACTTCCTTGACTTCCTCCATTTTAATAATACATTTGGTGATCATGAATATCCTCAGTACATCTCCAGGAATTTGCGAAAATTCCTCACACAACCCTGGAGTTTAAAAATTCTCTATACAATCAATATGTCTCTTAGGAATGCATTATTTTTCAAAATAGAAAGCTTATTACGATGTGATATTCATGATGTTTAAAGTTTTTTTTACGCAGCTACAATATGCCATCATGCCAATATGTTCCAGTATGCTTCTACAGTTATCTGAGCCTTGTCAGAATCGGGATTATGGTCATAAGTTTGGCTAGCCACCATATTACTCGAATCCATGTATGTTTCAGTTTACAACTCACAAGCAAAAAGCCGCTACAACGCTCATTCCATGTCATTGGGCTATAAAAGTTTATTTTTTTTTATGAAACGCATTGTATTATTTCCACAGACGACAGTGTATCGACACGCTGTCATTCGATATATCGAAGTTTGCGCGTCACAAAAACAAATACACGAGTTAAACAGGCGACACCGATGTGACGTTTCTAAAACACCTGAGCCAATATGGCGTCTACAGATCTCTTCACATTAAATGGATGAGGACGATAATGCTGAAGAGACGAGACACGCGAAGCCAGCTGCTTGCAACTGAAGACCCTTCGTTCCCAGTTTCGCCGACGGTAGACGCGCCACCTACAGCACTGCCTGCTCCAGGTTCCCGCAGAGGGCCCTGGTAGCCGTTGTAAAGATGTCCTGACTCACCGTCAGCCTCATTGCTGGCTTCTAAGTCCAGGTCATCTCGCTCCAAATGGCTCTTCACTCGGTTTGGCAACTCCATTTCTGCAACCACGAACAGTCAAATTGCTGACTGGCTATTTGTTTGGATGGCAGGTTGGCTGGTGTGTTGGTAAAAATGACGAAAATTATAAAACATTTCACGTTCTTACGGAGACGAGGATGAAGATTATTGTCTTCTAGAATGTTGCGACGTGTAGTCTGGCAGAAATTTGCCGACATTGGTGATTTTTACGCATTTTATTCATAGTCGTGGTAATGGACGAAGCAACCACCTCTGAAACTTCGGTAAACAGGTACCAGACTACACGCCGTAACATTCCAGATGATGGAAAAACGGGAGATTTGCATGACTTTATATAAGGCGAAACTATCTGGTCCTGAAGTTCGAGTCCCGTTCATGTATCTCACAGAAACGGTGCCATGATAGAAGTTCTTAGTTTGGCCCAAAATATAATAGGAGCAGAGGTCAAAACCTCAAAAAATGTACTCGGTTCGAGTCCCGATAATTTTTTTTGTAGCTCGATAAATAAGGAAGATAAAATTGCGTCAAGAACAAAATTATATGTTTTAGATAGGATATGGTAGGAAAAAACATCACAACAGCGAAAACTGTCCTGGGGTCGAGTCCAGGTAAAGATATTTTATGAGTAATATTTGATGTTCCTTTTTTTATTTTCAAATATTTTCTCGTATCTGCACTATAAACTTACTCATGCCTGTCGTCTGTACTTTTGCTATTATGCTTCATTAAAATTTCTGTGCACGCATGCAGTAGATGAAGAATGTTGAACTTAAAATCTTAAGGAAAAGAACCGATTGGGAGGTTCAGGAAGACGTAAGAGAACAAATCTTAAAACTGATCTTAAAGAACTTGCGTCTGAGAGTATAGAACAGAATCAATATTATACTTGAACAGTATAGGTCCTTCTAAAAGCGAGAAATATCTTTAAAAACTGGGCGAATATCAGCTGCTTATGAGATTCCGGGTAATTCTGAAAGCGAAGTCACAAAAAGGTAAGAATAATAACATCACCTCGGTAAAAAAATTCCCAGTTCAGCCATAAGGGTTCTTTTTACGTCATAAACAGAATAAAAAATAATATTATTAACACGTGTAAAATAATCACATAAGCTAATGTCATTGTCGTATGTTATTACTTTGTCTTGTCTTGTTCACCCCTGTTTTAGTCCAATGTTAGAAACAAGATTTTATGTTAGCATCATGGCAAGTAATTCACTTTCAAGCGCAGCAAAACCATATATTGATGTTGGCATTACTCATCACTTTACTACGGTGTGCGGTTGGCTGTACTGTAAAGATTTACCTGTTCTCTCCGCAGTAAAGACGGTTATAGGAACAGGAGCTTGTCAGACGTTTTAAAGCATCGTCCATCGATGGCGCATACTATTTTACGACAACTAACCAATGCATATACACCAAACTGGTGATACAGTATGATAGTGGCAATTAGCTCGTATCAAATGCTGATGAGTGGTTTACCGCGAAATTAAACTCGCTTACAAACTACGTAAGAAAGCGGTTCTAGAGCAATCCATTATAGAAGTTATGTTCTAGCAGTTACTGCAAACTGAAGGTCAGTTATAAGAGCCAAGATGGCAGCACATAGCACTCTGAGACGGGAGCAGTAGGGTCTTAAGTGTAAAGTAGAAACTGAGTGGATGACATTAAGAGAGATATATAGTAATTAGTTTAACGAAGGTCAAAGCAAATGTAAAGGCAAGTTAGAGGGTGTGTCAGAGGATGACAGAGAAGTTCCAAGAAGAGAGACTTCAGAAGTGAAGTGAAGGACGGATGTCTAAGAGAACTCCCAACTCAGAGTCGTAGCAGAACATCAAGTTTCATCTTGGAATACAAAGTAGAATTTTGAATACCTAACCTTAATTTAATCCCAGTTTGGTTTTTAAGTAAAATATCGTTTTGGAACCGAGTTACTATCTGTAATTCCTCTTGTGTATTCCTACACTACATACAGACGCTATTCAACTTTGAAGTGTATATTGCAAATGCTTTCTCCTAATTAGTGCAGCTAGATCTTGCATATGACGTTTAAAGCCTCGTGTTTATCGGGGAGACTGTTCACTTCACTTCACTCCACACGTTTATTTAGTTACTGGTGAATTTGAAGACGGTTTATCAGTTGATATGGTCATGTACTGTAGAATTAACCCACTTCAATTTTTAACTTTGTCAGCTGAACTGGTTATATCGTGTTGAAATCACTCTACTAAAAGAAATTAGGTTCGTCTTTTACGTCAAGAAAATCTATAAAGTTACTTTATTTTATAAAATCCACGTCATAAATTATATTCTTGGTATTTTAATAAAATTTTATCAATCGGAATGGCTATCTGACTTGGAAATCTAATTCATAAGTTACATTACTAGTATAAATAACAACAAAATTGTAGAATCAAAATAAATCCACTTTACAAGTTACGTAGAAAAATATGCCTATATATACAGGCTACTTACACTAAACCACTTCCATAATTTCATTATTAGGCCTTACAGAATGAAAGAATAATGGAAATTAATGCCTGTAGGCCTATCAAGGCTTATCGGTAAGGTAAATCTTCGATACTGTTCAATAAATATCGATGAAATTTAGTATTAAAAGTCTACGCTAAAATTTATAGGGCAAATTTCTTTGTGATCCATACAATCACCCTTACTTCATACAGAAATTAATTACTTATAAAAATGTTTTATAAGGAATTAGAACATCGGTATATCATGTGCTTAAACTGTTTTATGTGCCTTTAAATGAGGAAAGGAGTTCATAAATTAATTTTAACATTCTTAGATAACTATTCACTACAATATTAATTAATTGAACTTTGTCATTAGAACTAAAAGTGACGTCTTTCACAGCGAATTCAATTTCCGTACTCCATTTGGACACACTTACGCCATTGCTGGGTGCAACAGAGATTTCAGGACTAACAGAACTGACTTTTAAACTGATACGTAATAAATCAAGGCATAAAAAGCAACAGTGAAAGTACAGAAAGCTACATTATAAGTTATATTTAAATCCAACTTTCCATTCTACTGAAGCGAGCTAAAAGAACATTCTGACGAAATATGGTGACTGAAAACGAAACCAGAGTTCTGACTACAACGGTGTCAAACTTTTCTAGCGACCCCAGTTGGTAATAACGAACTAAGGATCTCCTCAAAATCCCTGTCGATTCCAAAGGAAACCAATTTCATTTTATAGCAGGAGGTATTCTCAAGTACTTGGAAAAAGTTCCGTCTTCAACACACACAAGAGCAATTTCGTTGAACAGTTGGTATCCCCTATTTCCTTTTCGTTAGTACTAAAAGTTTCAGCTAAAAATAAGTGAGCCCCTTAGGTTTTATTTTGTTAGGTATCGATACATTACATATACCTTGAAACAATTAGCTGATTTTCATTTATCCAGTGAATAGGATACAAAATCATATGCAATGAGGTTTTCTCAAGCGACCAGACATGTAAAAATCGTATTTGATTCATACGATAAATAGTAATTATTTCCATAAGGCAGAGTCATTCTTTAGAAGCTGAAAGTTGCTCATCGAGTAAAAAAAAGTACCTTTTATTTATGTAACCCGGTAATTCATTACCGTATTCACAAGAATCCGCCATAGGTCCCTACACCTCCTCCTCTGAACCCTTAAGACCTGTTTTAATATTATACTCCCATATAAGTCTAGGGCCTTTGAGTAGTCTTCTCCCTTCAGATTTTCCAGCCAAAATTTTATATTTTCTATGCACGCTATATGCTCGCCCATTTCATTCTGCATGATTTTATTACACTAAAAATATTGGTGAAGTTTACAAATTAATGTACCTTTATCCATCCTCTAACAACTTCATCTCTGTAAGTCCGAATATCCATATCAATACCTGATTCATCTCAGGCGTCCTTAGTTTTAAATTGTTATACTCAAAGCTCAATTATTTTGAAATCTCATTACTGAGTAGTGTTAATCTAAGTGACCATCTTGTGCGTCAATTATGGACACGAAATACATTACGAAAGCTTTGGGACCAGAAATCTAAATCGATACATCTCGATGTTTGGGTTTCTTCACTAAGCAAATATTACCCCATGCAGCTTAAATTCCATCGTATGTAGTCTCTAGGCCAATTTCTTTTACCTAATACCGCCACGTAAAATGTGTTTAAATAACGAACAAGTTGCCCCCTTGCGAAAATAAATATATTTTTAGAAGCTTTTAAATCATTGCTCAGCGCCTATTAAAATTTAGACAGATAGTATAAAGTAATAGGTCAGCCTACTTACCGTATAGACGTATGTTGCCTTCAGCGTCACCGATAGAGTTTTTGGAGATACATTTATAACCTCCAAAGTCGGATTTGCGGAAATTTCTAATGGTGAGACGCATTTGAACGCTATAGTAAGAGCTGTTGATCTCCGTCATGTTATACTTGTCGTTGGCAATTATCATTTCACCTGCAACGAGAAGGCAATGGCGACTGTTAAAAGACCCTATTACACATCCAACGAAGAAACGAAACAACAAACAGACCAATGCTATGACAAAATGAGATTTAAAGTTTTACTGTGCTTAAGTATGAAGATAACTGTCTTCTATGAGGTACCGTCTTGTACTCTCGTAAAAATAGACAGACGTTTTAGAGGAATATATAGTCCTGATGATGGAGGCAGTAAGAACCTGTGAAGCATCGGTCAATTTCTACGAGACTATACGGCGCAACATCTCGGAAGACAGTTTGACTATGGCGAATATTATTAAGAAGAGTTGAATAAGATGTGTTTATATCAAATAATTAATTAAACTCTGACAAATTTAGGGAACTTGACCTCATCTCGCGGAGAACTATGTGTACTTGTGACGATAATATTAAAATGAGGTAAGCCATCTAGTAAGTTAGTAGGACTTTTAATTTTATTGCAGGACAAAATAAATCACAACAGCTTTAATGTGTGATCATGACGAAACTGAAGCAGGGGTTATTTTATGTGCAGTCAGTTTTGTTTTACGGGGGTGGGAGGATGTTCCCCTTTTTATTGACATATAAAAACGATATCGAAATAAAGATATGTTTTACTGATATGCATCTTTCTTTATAGAGTAGAACTTTCGGGCGGGGGTGGA